CAATAATTTCATCTTATTGTTGTACCAATCCGATTATGAGGTGTATTCGTGGTGCCTTGAAGTGTAAAAATTGCAGTACTTTTCCTTCCTTTTTTTTGTATTATTTTAGCTCAAGCTTACACTTGCTGACTGGACACTAAATAACATTCTTCTGTTTTTTTTGTTGCAACGAGAGAATAATAATGAGATGCGCTGCCACATGGAGAACTTGGACCAATTGATAAGACACCAAATCTTGGGCACTAAATTATGTGTATGTAGTTGATCTGCATCTGAAATCTCTTTATAATAGTCGCGTATATTATAGTTAATTTCACCAATATCTGTGTATCTTTTATTTGGTTATTTGGCCTGAACCTACAGTTCAAGGTTAGTAATTATTTGGTCCGAGCCTACTATTCCTTTTCATGTCTTGTATAATTCTCTTTTTTGACATGAAGAGTTCCTGGAGGTTGGATGTCAATTTGAAAATTCCAGTGTATGCTTCAAGATGTATGCATATAATTTTTGCATATAATTTTGGAGTCTATTCATGTTGGTTCAGCATGTTTCTACTACACTCCACATCTCACAGTATTTAGAGCAGAGGGCCTTCGATAGTGAATACTGCATAAAATGGTGTTGTTCCGTGGGATGCAGAATTTGTTGTTTCATTCATCCCCTATCCTTGGTGTTGTTTTACATAGCTTATACTCATTTGCTTTATTTCAGCGGCAGGGTATACAACATAGGAAAACTTGACTAAGCTGTTCTGAAATTCCGGTTCCATTGGGTGATTTCTGTTTTCTTAATAAATTGGTGGGAGTGTGAGATAACTATTAAGCCAATTAGTTGCTGTGTACATTTAACAAGCGGTCAGTTGGGAGGTGATAATTATTTTTGTGTACACATAGTTTAGTCAGGGCATGCCCATGAACTGTTGCTTGCATATTGTATCATGTGAACGTAAGTGAATAAATCTTCCTTGGCTGAAATGTCATACCCAGTTTTGTGAAGTTTATATAAGCTTGCATTTTTTGTTGCTTTGACCAGTTTCTTCTTTTCCTTTGATAGCTAAGATGCACATGTAAAATCACATAATTAGATCCTTCGGAGCCTGGTAGATTCAGTACCAATTGTCGACTTAGCACTTACCATGTGCTGCATAATTGTTTCAGATTAGCATCCTTGTACAGCAGCAAATCAACTAGGAGCCTCTCCTGAGAAGCAAAGATGTAGATTGTCCACCTCGAAGGTTGTAGTTGCTAAAGAAGCTACAGGAGATTTAGAATATTTTATCTCACAACTTTCACTTCATCAGCCTAATAATGAAAGCAGAAGTATGCATTAAATATACAAAGGTCTCCACAAGATTTGCATAAGACAGTAATGTCCCATCTTTAAATCCTCCGACATTGTGCTAGAAAATTTTATTACTGACTGGACATATATGCCATGCATGTTTAGTACCTTGACTCTTTATATAGACAAAACTATGAGGGATGAAGCGTTTGGGAGCCCGGATGAAGAATGCTTCTAAGGCGGAGAAAGAGAAGTGATGAGAATACTTCCAAACCGCTCTGAATTTTTATTTTGGCAAACTCGGACTCCTTGTTTGATAAAATACATCTGAAGAGCATTTTTGCGCACTGTTCAAATAAACTCTTCATTTTTGTGTCTCTGTCAAACAATGCATTTCAAATAATTAGGTTATTGTCCTGGGGATATTTCGACAAATGTTGTACTTATCATCCTAGATACTCCCTATTCATTACCTATATCACATTCCCATTTTATTTCTTTGGGGAATAGCACATATTGTATTTCCATTTTTAGTTTCTTTAGTTGTTTGAATTAAAAAAAGGTGTAGACAAACAAAAGCTATAGAAAAGGATACAAATTAAATAGAGGTGGAATTTGAAAAATGGATTGAATTGGCAGGACGTGCGTTGCACGTGCACGCTTACTAGTAATTGTAAGAGATAAATCCAGTGACAACAAAACCAGAGTATTGCTAGTTTAGCTATTAGAGCTTAAATGTCATACTATGTGGCGTTGACCCTTTAAATTCAACACGACATTTCGGCTCAGGGGCCAACGCCATACTCTTTGGCACTAAGCTCTATCCAGGTGTTAGTGGACACTGGTTATTTCTCTCGTGCAAAGAGGCGACGATGGTCCATGTGCTGGAGGAGATGGATCATAATTCGTTATTCGTGGATCAAAAAAAAAAAGAAAACAAATCGACCTATCTACTCCCACCGTTTCAGAATATAAGATATATTTTTTGAAGTCCAACTTTCCTGTGTTTTACCAAATCCATAGAATAAAGTATAAACATCTAAAATTCTAAAATAATAAAATATAGAAATATATTTCATTTTGTGATGGAGCTAAAGATACTAATATGGTATTTTAGGTATTGGAAATATTTTTCTAATAAGTTGATCAAACATAGAAAGTTTTGAATTTTGAACAAATTAATGCACCTTGTTATTATTTTGAAATGGACAAACTATCTTTCTTAAGAATGTTTGACATAACTACCTAATGAGCCTGGTTGTCTTCCTTTAACCGACCAAGGGTTGTGGCTAAATAGGCTATAAGCCCAATCAACTATTTCATTTCAAATTATTTAAAAATGTTATTTTCACTCAATCGTAGTTCTCTGCAATTTTATTTATGGCGTACTTGCAATTTGTAATGGAGAAAAACTAATTCATTTTTTCTTCTTGAGAGAGGTGCACTAGCGGATGGAAATAAACGCAACCGTGCGAGGACATCACATAAGCACAAGTCTATAGTTGACGTATATTGGCAATAGTACTTGGCCCTCACAAATTTATACTAAGATATTTTGAATACATGGTACATTATATTTTCTATCAATAACAAAAATGCTTTGCCCAAAACAAATTTAAAACATACAATTGCAACAACAACAAAATGCTCGCAAGAAAAAAATATATCACACAGAAAAAATGTGTTGCAAATAACAAGTATTTTTTATAGCAAAAGTCATGGGTACCACCATAGGAATATAAATCAGGTTAGCAACAAATAGGTATTGCCACAAAAATAAAAAGGAAAACGTTTAGAGCCGATGCGTCGGCCGAGTATTGGGCCGGTCGAGCCGCGTGTGGTTCAATCCTCAGGGATCATGCATCTCTCACGCATCATCCCCATACCTTATCTTTTTTCCCCCACGCCCCTGACTGACTTCCTTCTTTCTTCTTCCTCTAGCCAGCTCTCTTCCCGGCGAGACCACCGCCTGTGAGGGCGCGCGCTGCCGCATCCACCTCGAGCCCTTGCTACTAACCACCGCTTTTTCAACGACGCATCTGTAGGGATGAGACGACGGCTTGGGGGCTATCACCATGGCAGCGCGTGACGGGGCGAGCACTAGATGCTACAACCAGGGGGCGGCCAACGATGCCGAAGCTGCGACCAGCAAGCCAGAGGTTGGAGACGCGACGACCATGTGCCGGAACTGGGCGGCGTCGGGGCTACACCCCTCGGTGCAAATTTGCTTGAACCGGTCGACGTCGAGGTTACAACCATGGTGAATTTTTGCTACAACCGACAAGCCTAGGTGCTACAGCCTGGATTGATTTTTGCTACAAATAGTCACGACGAGATGGAGGACGACGATTTTTTGCTACAACCGTTGTTGGTTTTTGCTACTACCGACAACCAATTTTGTTGCATTGGTGACGGCGGACGACAGCAACCGGGCGACCAGGAAGATGCATTCCGTTTAACAAAATGCTACAACTGGCAACAAAAAAGCTATGACTCGCGGAGCAATATGCTGCAAGCGGCGATGGTGAAGTTTTGTGGCCAGCAATAGCGAGCACCGAGGCTGCGACCACGGTGGTGGGGCATGGAAGCTGCAACCTCATGTGCCAAAGCTACACCCGCCCGTGAAAAAGCTACAACAAGTGCCAATTTTGTTGCATCAACGACGGTGAAAATTTTGGCCGGTGAGGCAGACGACTGCTACCGGCGAACAGGAAGATGCATCTCGCAGAAGAAAATGCTACAATCGGCAACAGAAAAGCTACGACTCGCGGCCCAATATGTTGCAAACGGTGATGCTGAAGATGTGGTCGGCGACGCCACGACTAGAAAGTTGCAACCCGCATGTGAAAATGCTACGACCAGTGCTAGACGGGGACGAGTCTGTGGGCGCACGGGGAGCTGCAGCGGCAAGCCTGACGTCTAGCTGGTGGCGGCGAGCTGTTGTGGGCGTGGGGTTGATAAGCATCCATTGTGCAGCCATGCCCTCCCATGCGTGTCTGGCATGGAGAAGAAATGAGCTGAAGATGATGGGGACTTCCACAGGTGGGTTTACCATCAAGCAGATCTTGCAGGATCGAACGGTTGGCTTTCGATGAATCAAACGATGCGTGGTCGACCGGCCCAAATTTGGGCCGGCGCGCCGCCTAATAGTGGCCAAATAAAAATCATTGCAACACATCATATTACCACGAAAACCATAGCGGCCAAATAAAAATCATTGCAACACATCATATTACCACGAAACCATGATTTGCGGCAATAAACAACCATTTGTTGCAAAAACAAAAAATAAGTGGCAACAAACATACAAATTGTGGTTGTAAAAGATAAATTTTACTATTAACTAAAAAAAGATAAATTCTATCACAAAAAATCGGAGTACTATATCGTTTTCTTTCCGTTGCGAAGGACTGTTGCAATGGGTAGAAATCCTAGGGTGCACTACTGACTTGATTTTGGTCAAATTTGCCAGCCAAACCACACGAGTAAAGGCCGCACGATTCCTCCAAAAGATGAATTGCTTCACTTGGAAAGCTAACAGGCGACTCCTCGGATTATGTGTCGACGATCCAAATTCCAAAATGGAGCCTTAAATTTACTAGACGCAGGTGGTTGAAGCAGCACTACAAGTTGTACTATATAAAGCGAGACCTAGCCATGAACAGCTATCACTACGACGCAAGATCTCTGCACTGGTAGCTCACGGCAGAGCGGCGAAGATGGCCACCACGCGCCACACCGTCCCCTTCGGCTCCGCCCGGATCAACACGACGGTCACCAGCGACACCGACGCCGCCGACGAGTGGGTCCGTCGCGTGCGCGCCGCGAACGACCCTGCCGGCCGCGGCCTCATCGTCGGCCTCGACTGCGAGTGGAAGCCCAACTACAGCTCGTGGACGACCTCCAAGGTCGCCATTCTGCAGCTCTGCGTCGGCACCAGCTGCCTCGTCCTCCAGATGTTCTACGCCAACCGCGTGCCGGCGGCCATCAGGGGCCTCCTCGGCGACCCCACGGTGCGGTGCGTCGGCATCGGCGTTGGCGAGGACGCCGCGAAGCTGGCCGACGACTACGGCCTCGTGTGCGCCGCGCCGGTGGACCTGGAGGCCCGCTGCAACGAGTACCTCGGCATCGGCGGCGGCCTGGGCAGGACGAGGCTGGGGCTCAAGGGCTACGCCAGGGAGGTGCTGGGCCTGACCATGGAGAAGCCGCGGCACGTGACCATGAGCAACTGGGAGAGGCGCCAGCTTGACGTCGCGCAGGTCCAGTACGCCTGCATCGACGCCTACGTCTCCTACAAGCTGGGCGAGCGTCTCCTGGACAACTGACGTACGGCTGGATACTACTGCACTTGTCACTTGGAGCTACTATTCATTATGTGGTGCTTAACCGTATTTGGTAACCTACCTTAATCGTATTCTGCAACTTTCTGTTTTCGACTTTGCCAGTGTGGTGCTGCAACTTGGAGTAAGCATGTTCTATTGTGTTGGTTGTTTGCTTGTGTTCTAGACAGTTGATGCAATGTGGCCGGGCGGATTGAAATGTTTAATTGTAGTACTTCTGAGATCAGAGATGCACTTACCTTCTGAGTTTCTGTTTGTTTTTCAGTCACCAACATGCATCAAAATGCATATCGTTTGGTATTAGAATGCCAAGAAGACCCGATCGAAAGCATACAAAAACCAAAGGAAACAAATGAAAATGCAAAACGCTAAGAAACCCAAAACCAAAACAAGCAAGAGCCAAAGAAGAGAGGATATAAACCGCTAAAAGAACAAAAACTAGTGATCAGGGCGCCAAGAGTATTTTAAATTTCTCCATTGAACTCATTTTTCTAGTTGGCAAGTTCTCTGGTCAGTTATCCTATATTGTTTGAAACACTTCTTCAATTTTCATGCATTTTGTTATGATAGCGCTTGAGAAATAACTTCGTCTAATTAGATTTAAGGATTTTTGTCATTACAAAAGTAAGGATAAGACCTTATTCCTACGAGCAGCTAGACTAAAAAGACATTTTTCTCTAAGCTGAGTTTAGGCTTTTGCTTTTGCAGCCTTTTCACTTCAGCAAAAAACAAACAAACAGAAAAGCTCCTAAATAGGGGATTTTTGCTTCGGCTTTTGGTTTATGAATCAATATTGTTATATGATGGTATAAGCCAAAAGCCGAAGCAAAAAAACACATATTTAGGAGCTTTTTGACTTTTTTGTTGAAATGGAAAAGCTGCAAAAAGCATAAGCAAAAGTCAAAACAAACATGACCTTCATTCCTAACAATGTTACTACCTAGCTACCTCCTTGAAGAGCTAGTGAGACTACTGTAAAATAGGACTGACACTGTGCAAAGACGTGTACGTGGAACCCAACTATTGGCCTTTTTTGGTTCATAGGATAGCGTAGGAATAGAAATTTTGTAGGAAGTGAGATGACATGTATCTCAAATCCTATGAATAAGAATAGAAAACGAGATGTCATTTGGTTGACACCAAAGGAATTTTTTCATTGAGTCTAGGCTCATTTTTATTTTCTTATGAAATATGGAGGATAGGAACCAATCCTATGTAAGAATAGGAATCTATTCCTACGAACCAAAGGGCTCTAAAGAAAAAATTCCTATAAAAATCCTATCCTCTAGAATTCCTATGAAATTCCTCCAAACCAAAGGAGGCCCAAAGGGTTATAGCAAGTGTTGCTTTGTAAAACCGTTCGAAATACTTTCTTGTAGGCTACTGATAAGAGTTGAGAAGAACCTTTCACTATGGAAGCGATTATTACTGAAGACTGACTGTGAAAACTTCATAATCGTCTTGAGCCGAGAGTCGTTTGCTCTAATCGAGCCAAAGCAAGTGTTTTTTCTATCCAAACACCAATGATTTCATGCTCATGCTTATATTTTGTCCAAGTCTTCTCTTCCCCTTCACATTGGTAATAACCAAGTCTTGGAGTTGTTTCTTTCCTAACCCTAGTTGTAGCTTGACCTGTCGTCCTTGTCTCTATCAACGCCGCAAAAAGGTGACATTAGCTCCTTTACTGTTGTTTCACATTGAGGCTAGTCAGAGTCGAATGACATGAGATGGTTCATTGTGCGGGTCCAGGGGGGATCAGGAGAAGGCATGTGGTGACTCGACGAGAGGGATCCCGAGAAGGCTCGTGGAGGCGCTTTGCAGAGGATTCTCCATTAAGGGCTTTGGTTATCTGATTAACTTATACGAGATGGGTTTCTAAACTTAGGATTAACACCACCACCAAATATAAGAGTGCTTGATTGGTGTATAAGGCTTAGTTTGTGGTTGTTGATATTCAATTGCTAGAACTTATTTTACAAATTGTTGCTCAGAAACGTTCATGAAAGTGGAAGACGTGTTGATTACCAAACAATAAAAAATAGGGAAAAAGTTGATTAGGCAAACGAGGTCACAATTCACACACACTGACATTGCCACAACTAACCTTACTTATACTATAATTGCCATATGAATATGATATGTCATGAACAAAATGACCACAATGGGTGGTAGACTTTGGGGAAAAACTTGGTTTCACCATATGAGCATATAAAAATAAAAATATGGCAAGTCAAAGCTATAATAATACCAAACACATGTTTAGGAAAAGGTGTGACGCAACTAAGACTAGATGTAGCAATTTCGGATTATTAACTAAAAATGTCAAAGTGCACTCACACCAATATAACTTGATTTTTCATATTTGTATTTTCACACCAAAAGCGCACAATTTCATAGATTTTGACTTATGGGAGAGATACCGACTTGATTGGTAGTTGTACTACTAACATGCTCGAATTTGAAAAACATGTATACAATGGGACTCTTTGTTCCAGTTGAACTTGGGATGTCCCCGAAAAATATGATATGGGCTTAGTGAACTTTTTTGGTGAAACAGTAGGGTAAAACCCCACTGACGCAAACAAAGTATATGCAACTAGGCTTGAGATAAGCCTGGAACCAAAAGAGCAAAAAAACATAAAAAGAAGAAAGCAAACAAAAAAAATACAAAAGCTCATTAAGCCATGTTATAGAAGTGTTGGCATACTTCCCTTGGTTATACCCCAACAAAGAAATTCCTGCAGATAGATTCTTTTCAAACTTAGAAAGGTCGGACCTTCAATCATGAAAATCCTATTTTTGTGGATACCCAAATGGACCAAGAAGCAACGATTATGAATTCCATAAAGAAAGGCACATCTATCTTCTTTTTCATGGTAGTGCAAGCCTCCAAGAATGCCAGATTAGGTTCCCTTTGTGGCCACAAAAAATAACAACATCATTGAGCGAAAAGAACAATGTAGGGGTGGCCGTGGAGTTTCTAGTCCCGAGCTAAAATGCACCCTCACGAACAATAAAACCAGGAAAAATACTAAACAAAAATTCATATAATTCTTTTTTACAATAAACATTGTTGAATGTTCCGCATACATAATTTTTTCACGAAGAAAAAACTTCCTAGTGCTCTAGAAAAAAATTAGTGCTCCAAAAAGACTATTTTTGAAAGCATTTTGAGTGTTCATTTTGTTATTTTCCTAGACCTCGACAAATATGATTTCATCATGACGTTTTACACACGGGAAGAAAATTAAGCAATGGTTGTTGTAAAAAAACTCAGTTTTTTCTGAATTTGTTTTCTGTTATTTATTACTATTCATAAAGGAGCGTTTGAGCTCAGGATTAGAAGGGCACTTTCGAGTGTAGGGTTTCTTCTTGGGCGCATTTCAGAGTATAAAAATTGTAACTTTGTAAGATAAAGTTCTTTCTAGACAATATGTTTCTTCCGTACAGTCTATCATGCAAAAAGCACCCAACAAAAACATGTGCT